TGAGCAGTGCTTACACAGAGTTGAGGCCTTTTCTGCTTCTCACCTCACCCCACCAGCGAGTAGGCTGAGGGTGCACAAGAAGTTGGGAGGGGACACAGCCAGGACAGCTGACCCCAGCTGACCAAAGGGATATCCCACACCATACGACGCCATGCTGAGCATATAAAGCTGGGGGAAGAAGAAGGAAGCGGGGGGACATTCGGAGTGATGGCGTTTGTCTTCCCAAGTCACCGTTACGTGTGATGGAGCCTGCTGTCCTGGAGATGGCTGAACACCTGCCTGCCGATCGGAAGTAGTGAATGAATTCCTTGTTTTGCTTTGCTCGCATGCGCGGCTTCTGCTTTACCTGTTAAACTGTCTTTATCTCAACCCATGAGTTTTCTCACTTTTGCCCTTCCGATTCTCTCGCTGATCCCACTGGGGGGGAGAGAGTGAGCGAGCAGCTGTGTGGTGCTTAGTTGCCGGCTGGGGTTAAACCATGACAAGTATAAATCTCTTTCCTGCTGTGTCATACAAGCTGAAATAGCAACCTTAAAACACAGCCAGAAAAATACGCTTGGCCATTGTATGAAGTGCCTGCAGCATGGCTGGATTTTTTTTAGATTGCAAACTTTAATATGACTTTATATGCTGCTTAATAATGAACCCAAGCTTTCAGTCTTCCCATTCAAGGTGGAATAAACCTTTGCAGTTGCCAGTTCCTGATTTTTAATTTTTCTATGATCTTTTCATTCTCTTTAGCTTCCTCCAGTATCCTTTCAAGCAGTCATTCAAGACAGCTGATTTTGAAGGCAAAGGAAACGTGTTAAACCTCACCTAGTAAGAGATGCAGTTTGATACAGTGTGAAAATCATAAATTAAGCTGAAGAATAGAGGGACAACTGGAGTGAAACATGATGGATAAAGAACTGGATAAGGAGAGAAAGCAAAAGGCATTGTTAAAAGGAGGTGTGAGATTGAAGGTAGCTTGCTAATAACGTTTCTCAGCAGATGATTTTTACGGTAATTCTGTTTAACGGTTCTGCTAATGGCATTGGCATTTGTATCAGGAGTGTGTGAGGAAATTTGTTGAAAGCAGGAATAATATAGCATTATTAATATAAAGGATGGAAATGTCACACAAGAAGAACCAGGTGACCTTGATGAGCAGAATGGCAGATGTGTGCTGAGATTCAGCAGCTCAAAATGTAATAACAATAAAAATCGGTAGTACAACAAATTTAGTCTGAGAATCTTGCCTCAGTCAGGATTAAAACCAGCCTTTCAATAAGGTGAGTGCTTTTTTTGGTGCGCAGATTGTTTATGAAAAGTGTTTCATTATATAATGCCTGCAAAAAAAGGCCATTTGATGCAGTGTTGTAGGGGTCCTTTCTGAGGTTTTGTTTCTACCCTCATGTAAATGGGCTATGTCTCAATATAAACATGACTTTGCAGAAAAAAGGATGGGTACACTTCTTTAATGAAGGAATTAGTTGGTGTTTAAATGATGTGTTAGAGTCGTCCAGCTTGCAGAACAAAGACCATTGGCCAAATCCTCAACTGATAATAAATCATCACTGAACTTAACAAGCTGTCGCATATTATATCAGTCTGGCTGTAAACTTTAAACTTGGTATAGCAACTTCTGTGTGCAAAGTAAGTAGATCTTCGTCCCTGCAGAATGTAAGCTGGAATGGATGAGGGGAGAAGGGATTTACACTGGATGCCAAAGTGCCTTGGGTAGTATCTCTTTCAGAATAGCACTGTGACACCATGTGTAACAAAGTGCAAAAGCCCCCCACTTCTTAGTACAGAAACAGATACGGAATGTTTTATATTCTGTTCTGCATGCTGAACTTGGCCTTTTACTCTCTTCCTCGTGAGAAGAAGAATAAAATAAGTTGTACTGTTTATTTATGTTTAAGTGGCATTTTCCTGCTATTCTAAACAAAAAATAGATCATTGACTGCAAACGGTAGGTCGTATGCCCTCTTTTTCATACTTTGCAGAAAGCAGATAAGGGACTGCTATGAAAACATGCTTATGATCTCACTTTTATATGGTTAAAATCTCAGTCATACCTTGTTTAGTGCTTAGCTTTAGCATAGTACTTTTCTTCCTAGCATTTTCTTACTCAATACAAAGATAAGGCGGCATAAGAAGATTCCCTAGACTTTTTTCCTATGAGTGATTGTACCTCTAAAGAAAAAATATATCAACTGTGAGTTTTAAGTAGCATGTACTTCTACAAGTGCATTCCCAATTAAAGAAAATCTATTTTGTAGTCATGTAGTATGTGGTCAACCTGCAAGACTGAACTTCCTTGTTTCCATGGTTTTGAAACTAGACACGTTCAGACATTGCGTTTGGACCACAGCAAAGTAAAACATTAATGTCACAAGAACATGCTTTGGAGATTGTACTAGGGCAATTTAGATGTCTTCTGAGAAAATTTTTGCTTAATTTAATAGTACATAATTCTCTTTTAAGCATTTGGGTAAGAAAAACAGGCTGTTTGGATTCAGGTGTTTTTAGGGTGAAAGAGGTCAGAATGATTCCAGCTCATAGACCCAAAGGAGCAGCAAAGAAATAGTGAAATGGAGACAAATGTAAGTTTACCAGAATAGTTTTTTAGTCTATGATTTTTTGTATCTGGAGGAAGATTCCACGGTAAACTAGAATAGGAGGCAACAGAGACAGGAGCACTTAACCACACTAGGACAGAGAAAGTAAGAAGGCAATAAAACATTAGTACACTAGTGAAAGAGAATTTATAAGTTATATTAAGGAAAGAAACGAAATGAAAGCAGTAGCATTCAACAAAGTTATGTATGCATAACTTCAACTATAGCCAGGTTGCTCTGTAAATCTACTTCACTTTTATTCACCTCATACATTCTAATTCCAGCACAGGTGCAATGCCACTGAGTTCAGTTTTTTACTATTGATAAATCTGAACTAACCATAGAGAATCACATCTCATTACTGACAATTAATTTCTTGCAGCTTCCTCTGAAGCGCGTAGTCATTTCTATAGTCACAGGATACAACTGCAGATGCAGGACTTACACAGTCCAACATTGCAAACGTAAATCCAATAAAAAGATTTGTTGCATGAACCTCTCATGGAAGATCTTGCTCTTCCTTATCCCCTTTCCTTTGGAGTATGTACACAACCACCTGAGGTGTCCTGTCTGCTTAGTTAAACTAGAGAAGTCTTCAAAGTGTTATCAAAAATATTTTGAGTCTTTTCCACTGCTGCTACTATGAGGATTGTTGCAGAAGGATTGTTAGTACAGGTCATGCACCAGCAGCTTCAGTAGCGTATTATCCAACTCTACTTGGGGGCAGATCTAGATGCGACAATCATGAAGTGGCCTCAGCTTTGCTTCTGAGCTGTCTCTTCTGCTGTTGTAAAAACTAACCAAACCACACAAAACAACATGCTAAGGAAATGTTAAGGAAAATGCTAATGCTGATAAAGCTTGGTTACACACAACAGTTTTTGCATGACCTTATTTCATTCAGAGTAGCTTGCTCTAGTCTTCAGAAGGGGGGACATAGTTCTTTCTGAGCTTCATACAACACTAAAATTCTCTGGATAGAACACACACATTGGATCAGTGTGACACATTTAGCCTGTGATCTCTGAAGAAACAAACATTTTGGCATTGGATTTTTTTTAATATTTCCAGCAAAGTCCATTTTAAAAAAGAATTTTTGCCAGTAGGATTCCCCTTTGTCTCCCCCATTTTCTTCAACATGTTGTGACATGTCTATACTCCTTTACTTTTTGAGCAGCTATATTCAAAAATGTAGACTGTCGCTGATGCTGCCATAATCTGTCTGTATGACCCTGAGCAGGTTCCTTTGTATTACCTACAGAATAGGGGCAGGTTTTTTACCTCCAGTGTGCCTGTTGTGAGGTTACCGATGCAAAGTTTAATAATATTTGTGAAGTATTTGAGTTTTTTCCAATGGGTAGCACTGAGGTAACCATTTTGGATCCCTCATTTGATCAGCCAAACACATTATAGTTGGGTGTTCCCTCACTGCCAGCAGTGGCTGCATCCGTTTTGCTTTAAAATATCACCAAGGAGCCATTTTTATTTTCTGGCCAAGTGGAATGGAATAACTCATGTCCATGTAGTTTAATTTTACCTGTCCATAATAGGAATGGACACATGCACGTTACATATTATTCAGAGATGTCCCTAGTTTAATTTGGATCTCACAGATCTATCTGCCTTCTCCCTCTATACATAGACAGCTTAGGTTTCTGGAACTGCTGCTTAAATCCCTAGTTCCATTACCAAGTCCCCGGACAGCTGCATGGTGTCTGGAAGAGCCCAAGCTCTAGAAATGCAAATGAACAGTGTGTGGGAGATATTAACTGCTGTAGCTAAACTATATTAACACTAAGTCAACTTAGTGATTGGGGGGTTAGAAAGCCTTAGGAGTGCCACTGTTTTTGGCACAAAAGCCTTTCCCTCTCTTGATACTGACCACGCCCATTAGCCTCAGAACAATATTCCAGAAATTGCTCCCTACTGTCAGCACATCAATGATCTTCCACCACTCCTCAGAAAGACGCGAGATCCCTGCCCTATTTCAGAGTATCTGCAGCCTCTCTTCAGCAGAAAGCACACGGCCAAAAGCTTCAAGTTCACAAACACTTTCCTGGGCATATTTTTAATATGTCAAATGGATCAGTTTCTCAGATGATGTGGATTTAGAGGTCTAAGTAAAAAGGCTATCTGTGACAAATGGTACATTCCCAGTTAAGGGTCACTAAATAATTGCCTACATGGAAGTCACAGGGATAATGCCTGGCAGCCTTGTGTCCACTAAGAAAAGAAGAGTAGGAGTGGATATTGGGGAAGCATGTTTTAGTTGTGCTCCATAATTTTTAGCAATTAAAGAAAGTCACAGCATGATGAATAGCTTTTATGGAAAGAAAATATCTGTGCACATTTCCCCTTCTTCCATCCCAATGGCTGAGTAGTCCCAGTTAGACTCACCTATTGTTCTCGTGACCTTGGTGATGGTGAGCAGCACAAAAACACACACTGCCTTCCCAGCAATCTTCATGTCGGTTCCTGCTTTCATGGCTTAGGCAGCTCCGTCACTCCATCCATCCCACCGCCAGCCTAGCTGTGGTCATGGGGAGTATTTCTTGCCTGCCAGTGCATCCTCAGCAGCCAACGTCAGTGTTTTCTCTCCCCCTTTCCCACTCCTCTTCTCTAGCTGTGCATGCTCCTGATCGACTGGCTCCTCAAAGCTGGAGAGGTTCCTCCTTCTGACTTTTCAGAGCACTAGGCTTCCTGTGCTGAGAGCCTAGGCGAACACTGAGGAAACAGATTGAACAACTCTGCCTTCCGTTCATTGGCTCTCCTCAGGAGGCTGATGAGTGAAGATAAACCCTGCAGCAGAGCTCAGAGGGGGTAAAAGCAGAGGAGATTATTCAAGGCTGAGTTTAATTTCAAAAAGGAAATCTTAGTCTTGGGAAGCTACAGAGAAACTTATTCTTCATATTTGTCACTATTACTACTACTACTACTGCTACTTCTTTGTCACTGCCTCCAATAAAATTCCTCCTCATGTCTTCCTAACAAAAATAACAAAATAGCAGTCTCAAGTGTTCTCTGTAAGTGACATTTTTAATATTTCTCCCTTCAGTAGCTACTTCGCTACTGGCAGCGTATTTCTCATCTTGAACAACAAGGCTTTCCAGACCCTGGGGGAGAAACGGAGTTTTGAGGGGAAAGAAAAGTCTATTTTACATACTTTTCAACAGAAATAATACAGAAATACACATCTTTCACTGAAAAACTGTTCGGTTTTTTCAGAATATTGTTGTGTGCGTTTTTTAAAAATAATACTGTACCTGTTTCCCCACTTCCTCACTGATCTAGTAATTTCAGATTCAGGGTTTCTTCTCCTTTCTTAAGCCACTGCACTTCCCCAGCACAGTTCTCTGGGCCAGCAGTAGAGAAAACACTCAGCTGTTGAAAGCTACAAGTCATAATAATTACCACTGAGGACAGAGACATAAGAGGTAAAGACAGAAAACAGATCAAAGTTGGCAGGAAATTGAACTGTTCAGGAGCTAGGACTGCACACCATGTTTGAACATCGGCAAGCTGTACTGATGACTGTAGTCTGATGTTCTGGTAATTTTGTTTGATCAGACTGGTGTTCAAAAATGGTCTGCGTTGACGTTCACTGGAACAAAGGAGTGTGAATTAAGGTCCTAGGTAAATAAGTAAAAAAAGACTGATAATGATCATATAAAGAAAATCAGGTAAGACAGAAATTCACCTGGATCATCTTGGTCCCACGATCATCATATTGACTACAGTTTTGTGTGGGAGGGCATTCTGAATATTTTTCCCCACTTGATTTTTCAAATTCAATTTAACATTTTGACACTCCTCCGCACTGTTCTCAGGTTTTCGATATGCTATTCACAGTAACTCTAGTTTATTTTCTGAATTTTTACCATTAATCTAGGAATTAGTAATGCTTTTGAATAGATATCATAGCTACATTTTAGACAAGGGCATGGAGAGGAAGAAGAGGTATTTATGTAAGTAGAGATTAAGATGCAAGGCTGGAGAGAGAAGTAGGCAACATGTAAGCAGTATGAGGCCTCAAATGTAAAAGCAATAGTGCTCAAATTTGGTGCAAAGACAAGAGGAAACTAAGATGGTGTAAATGTGCAGACATGTGGCGTATTGAATAGATGATTGCTGCGTGAACATGAAAAAATGAAAAGATGCAATGGGATAGAGGAGATTTTGGAAGAGAGCAAACTATCTTCTAAATAAGAAAAGTCCTACTTTAACTTGTCATAATGAAAGATCTCTGCATTCATTCAGAACCAGAAGTTAGACAGCTGGATTCTTTTGGTAGGCAAATATTATTTATGATGTCATTAAGATGCTTTGGGAGGAACTTTCTGTTTGAAACCTGGGTTTCTAGCAACAAGTGAGGGGCTCATATGAGAAGGTGTGGTGGGTTGACCTTGGCTGGCCACCAGGTGCTCACCAAGCTGTTCTATCACTCCCCCTCCTCAACTGGACAGTGGGAGAAAAATACGATGCTCGTGGGTCAAGGACAGGGAGATTACTGAACAATTACTATCACAGGCAAAACAAGATGGTCTTTCGGGCAGTGGCATGGTTTACAGGGTATGTTTCTAGCCAACCAGTAGCTGCTTCCATCACAGTGAGTATGTAGCGCTTGCCTTGGCATGTTCGTGGCAGTGGTCCAATAAGGCAGTTTGCCAGGCCTCGCCATGTTGAAAACCCAGCCACTGCCCTCTATTCCAGGGAGACTTTACTCATGTGGCTCGTTTGATTGCATCACATGTTTCACATTCATGAGTGAGCTGTGTGATGGCCTCCATGGTCAGGTCCACGCTTCAATCACGAGCCCATCTGTATGTTGCATCTCTCCCTAGATGTCCCAATGTTTCATAGGCACGTCTAGCTACAAATAGCTCACCCTTACACTCCCAGTCCAGGTCCACCTGAGCTATTTCAATTTTGACAGCCTTGTCTACCTGTTCATTGTTTCGATGTTCGTCTGTGGCTTGGCTTTTGGGCATGTGAGCATCTACACGATGTACCTTTAGAGCGATGTTTTCTACCTGGGCAGCAATGTCTTGCCATAATACAGCAGCCCAGATGGGTTTACATCTGCGCTATCAATTGGTCTTCCACTGCTGTAGCCACCCCCGTAGGGCATTAGCCACCATCCATGAATCAGTATAGAGATAGAATATCGGCCACTTTTCTCATTCAGCAGTCTCTAGGGCTAGTTGGATGGCTTTCACTTCTGCAAACTAAGTTGACTCACCTTCTCCTTCAGTGGCTTCAATGGCTTGCCACGTGGGACTCCACACAGCAGCTTTCCACTTCCGATGGTTTCCTACCACACGATAGGATTCATCAGTAAACAGAGCATAATGCCTTCCATCTTCCGATAACTCATTAGATGGTTGTGCCTCTTGGGCACCAGCCACCTCCTCAGGCAATGCTCCAAAATCTCTGCCTTCTGGCCAGTCCACGATCTCTTCCAGGAATCCTGGGCAGTTGGGTTTCCCAAGTCGAGCTCACTGCGTGACCAACGCTACCCACTTATTCCATCTAGCACTGGTTGCATGATGTGTAGAGGGGGTGTTTCCTTTGAACATCCAGTGTAGCATGGGTAATCGCGGTGCCAGGAGGAGATATGCTTCTGTACCAACAACTTCTGAAGCAGCTTGAACCCCCTCATATGCTGCTATCTTTTTCAGTCAAGGTGCAGTGGGCTTCTGATCCTCGATACCCTTGGCTCCAAACATTAGTGATCAACCTCGGCTTTCTCTGATGTTTTCTGTCAGAGGCTCCAGGTGAGACCATGCTCCCCGGCTGCAGTGTAGCTGTACGTTTTGTGCAGCTGGTCCTGTCCGGACAGGCCTGAGAGCTACCACATGAGCTATCTCCTGTTTGAACTCCTCAAAGGCTTGTTGTTGCTCAAGGCCCCACTCAAAATAGTTCTTCTTTCGGGTTACTCGATAGAGAGTGCTCACCAGCTGGAATATGCATTCTCCAGAATCCCGCGGGGCCTAGGAAAGCTCGTGTTTGTTTCTTGTTAGCTGATGCAGACATAGTTGCTATCTTGTTGATCACATCCTTAGGGACATGACAATGTCTAGAAATCTGACGAGGACCGAGTCTGGGAAGTACTGCAACAGTTCCTTCTTTTATCTTGTGAAAGTTCTGCTGCAGGCAACAGAACTTGGGAAGTGCGATATGAGAAGTCTGTGGCAGGACATGACTGAAAACATAAATTTACCACAAGAATTGACAAGTACTTTATTTCTTATTCACTGGAGCCTGTCCTCTCAGTTACACATTGAGAGCTAGGATCCCGTGACAGAGGAATTGACCCTGAGAAGGGCCAGAGTGGGACAGAGGATGACCTAGATGGAGAAATAATGCATGTAGAGGGAGGAAAGTTGTCAAGGTTTGCTGGCTGCATCAGTCAGAAATATAGAGTGCATTTGATGGAAAGGTGGAGAAGGAGAGGGATAAACTGATTGTAATAGCTGAAGCTGAAGCCTGAGACGTAGTTGAGGATGAAGATGTTGCCAACAAGGCGCGATTAAAGACACACTTTCAGAAGTGTACTTTTTGACACAGCAGCAAAGAAAACTCAAGCACTGTTGGTTTAAGGTGCTCTGCAGAGCCATCACAGCCTTCCTGGAGACTGAACTTTCCCTGTCTTTTGTCTTCTGAGAGCACAGATCTGGGCTCTGCCTGTGGTTTTCAGTGTGGGTTATTGCAGACCCATTTTATGTTAATTATCATAATGTCATCAGATATTATTTGACAAAGGCACCGTCTGTGATCTGCTCTGTTTGAAGTGGTTTCACTCAGCCTTAAGTCCTTGCTGACAGCAGATTCCATGCTAATAACTCGCTCAACAAGAAGTGCAGGAGCTGGATTAAACCTGGATTTTAATTATCAAGGTGCAAACAGAAATTAAATTCTTTCCAGGAACTTCTTTCCAATGATAACGTGAATATCAGAGTGCTGGAACTTCAGCTGGTATAAACTTTTAAGCTGGCCCAGTTCCCTTGACTTCTCATGGAGCTACCATGACTTTCTCAGTGTGAGAATTCTCCCTGCTCTCTCTTTCTACGTCAGCTGAGGATCCTAAATCTTGGGACCATACAGCTAGCTCAACAGGCTGCACATAAATGAGTAAATCAAATTATCTCTGAAGCTGGGAATGGTTCCGGAAAAGCATCATGATTCTCTGTATACTGACAGATCTGTTCTACTCACTGAGTAAGTGCTCACCCCAGCAATGAAATACAATTGTTTTGTCTGGCAATTTGGCAAGGAAGTGAAATTAAGGCTGGATTAGATTATGCAATGGCCTTGTCCGATGTATAGGGCATTAAAACCACTTTAATTCTTTCAGAGATAGCAGTATGTGTCACACTTGTCAGTGAATTTCCTGCCTTTTGATGACCTGTTACATTATAATGAAGGAAAAATAATTTCATAAGTTTTATTTGCATAGTCTGTAACAAAATACATTAATTTTGCATA